TGTTCCATTGATCTATGTGTCTGTTTTTGTGCCAACAATTTCTAATTAATTGTCATTGTTTAAAAATTGTGAGATTCCCCCAAACATCAGAAAAAAGTTGTAACACTGGGTCCACATCTCCCAGTAGAACTGAGTAGAGGTAGCTCCCTATAGATGGGCATAATCTTCCCGCATACCCTCACGTAGACTCCCTACTTGCCCACTGTGGACCTTGAGTATGAGATCCTCTCATTTCCAAGATGAAAAGAACTGCAGTCCACAGAAGTTTCCAGAGGCTGCCAGCTAGTTAAGAATAGCAGAGCTGATATCATAGTTAGTGTCTTAAGGAGTCCTTCTACCAGCAGGATAGGAGGCATTTTTCACTCAGGTGGGCATTTTCAAGCAATAATTCCAAACGTGATAAACTGCCTTGTCCTCAAACAGCCTGGCCTAATAGCACTGCTTAATTCACATTTAAATTACACTGGGAACAAATACATTTCACAATGTTCAGCTCCAGGTTGCAGAGAAAAACACACTAATAGAGCTCTGCAATTACGAGTAATTTTTCTCTGAATCCCTCTCTTTCTCTCCCACTCTGGATTAATGACTGCCTTCACAAAGAGTCCACATGAGCTTTCAGAGCCAAAGGAGTAAACAGGAGGACATGCATTAATGTGGAGGGCTGGTTACCTCCCACGCCTGAGTATAGAGCTTTTAGAAATGGAATTTTTTAGATGATGTGCTTCTCCTACAAATATCAGGTGAACATAATCTCTGAGGCAGTGGGTGTTGGGTAGAACAACATTCGCATTAGTCATGGAATAAATATCCAGAAGTAAAGAGGGAAAGAAACAACAATCCAATTCAACCGAGCAGTGGTGCACTTACTATGTACCAGGCATTTGTGTACAGTGCTTTCACAGGTTTTAGTTTATTCCCTTTGCACAACCCACAAGGCTGTGAGCAGCAAAAAGTAAAAAAAATAAGAAAAATAAATAAGGAAGGAAAGACAGTATTGAACCTACATTTTTGATTCTGGGTTCATTTTGGTGATGTCAGGAGGATCTGGGGAAGAATCCCAGCTCCAGTGATCCCAGTGTGTGACCTTAGGTTAATTATTAACCGTTCTGAGCTTCATCTGTTCCTTGTCTGTTAAATGCCATATGCTATGTGCACAACACACTTACAGTTTTTTTTTCTTTCAATTAGACTATGTGGTTCCTCACTGGGGTTACTAATATTGAATATAATTTTAAAAGCACTGGGGGTTGGTGTTAGAAAATTTGGATTCTAGTTCCCACTCTTTCCTTTCCTTCTGAGACTCATAAGGAAATTATCTGTTTTTTTCAATAATTAGAAAAACAGCATTGCACATGGCAGTATAATTCAAACTGTATTAAAGGTTATAAAATGAAAAGTGGGTCTTCCTTCCCCATTAAACAACCAGTGCCTTCCTCAGAGGCGATGCCTATTAACATTTACTTGAACATCCTTCCAGAAGAGTTTTCTATTATGCATATACAACCACATACACACACACTCTAGCCCTCAAATGGGAGCAAATTTAAAATAAGACCGGGAGATACGGTGTGCTGGCCCATATCACCTCATTATTTTAATGTAGCTAGGCCCATACTGATAGGTAGGTAATTTCCAGTCTTCTGTTGATAATAGCGATAGTTAATATTTATGGATTGCTTGGAATGTGCCAGGCACTATTCTAAGTACTTTATATGTATTAACTGATTCAATACAACTGTCCTGGATAGAAACTATTATTATCATCCATTTTACATCTGAGGAAAATGATTCCCAGAGGACTTGCCCCACAGACACACAAGTGGGAGAGGTAGAATGAACAATGCTGTAACACATCTTTACAGAGTTTTGTGCAAATTTTTCAGAATATCTGGCAAATGATGGCTCTTAATAACAGCAGCAGTGTCATCAATTTGCATTTTTGAAAGATCAATGTAATAGCAGGGTGGAGAATGGACTCGTCTTATAACACCTGTCACACTCCGCTGTGCACTTTTTCCCGTCTCCCTTGTTAAGATTATGAGCTTCTTGAAGGTGGGGACTCTGAGCCTCAGGGCTTAGCACTGGGCCAGGATATTGCTGACCCTTAATAACATTTGTGAATAATTAGCACTGAAAAATAAGGAAGCCTTCAATGGGACTGGTATTTGGTATTTGGGCTGGGTTTTAAAGGGTGAATAAAATTTTGATAGGCAGAAAATGAAAGAAAATGTTTCTTCTTTGTGTGAAGAAACAACAAAGGAATGACTACATAAGATGTTTGAGGGAACAGAAAACTGTCCAGCCTGTTTGGAGAAAGGGTACATGGTGTGATGTGCTCACAGAGGAGACTGGAAAGGAAATTTGGAGGCAGACATGGGGGATTCTAATGCTATGCTAAGTTTGTGAGATCTTTTCTAGGCCACGTCCATTAACCTGAAAATAGATGAGCATCTATGAATGCACCCGCATAGACCCACAATACTGGTGTCAAATAGTTAAATTTTTTGAATCTCAGTTTTTAAAATTGTATTTATCTCCATACCAGGTTTCTTTCCTCCACTTTTTCACTTCCCAACATCAAACGGATGGCAGGTTTGTCAGCATCAGTAGCCTGAAAAAACATCATATCAGTGAAGTGGGCATATTTTCAGTTTTCATTTATTTTAATCCTCACCAACTCCCTGAATTCACTCTCTTACATATTTATGTTTCCAAGTTCTGGCCCTGTGCGTCCAGGTTTATAGATGTAGCTTATAGATGTACTATTCACATTCATTTATATGCAAACATACCTCTCAGTGGATTTTGTTACATTTCTGTTAATCTTGAATTTCATGAAGTTACATAGATATCTGACAACATATATTATTTTAAATACATGCTAATGTTTCTCAACACTTGATTGTTGATCCTAGGAAATGTATGTAATAAAATTCAAGCTAGAAATTAGTTCTGCTAGCCACTCTTACTACGTATCAGCACTGCCCAAGAGGAATATAACGTGAGCCAAAGATGAGCCACAAATACAATTTTAAAATTTCCAGTAGCCACATTTAAAAAAGTAAAAAGAAATACCAAATTAGTATGTTATATTTAACCCACTATACCTAAAGTATTATCTCAACATGTAATAAATATTAAAAATTATGAGATATTCTACCTTCGTTCTTTTTGTAATAATGTGATATATTTACAATACATCTCACTTTGGTCTAGCCATATTTCAAGTGCAGAAGTTATGTAAGGCTAGAGGCTACTATACTGTAGAGTGCAAAAATAGAAGCTATAGGTTCCAGCTCCTTTGAATAACACTATTAGCTCAAAGAATGGTTAGAATGGTTTATATCTTCCCTGATCCAAGCAGTAATAATGTAAAGCTTCTTTCTTGCTTGTAATTATGTTTGGGAGAGCCCTACTAAGTCTCTAGGCATAAAAGATATCAACCATGTAATGCCTTCAGGGAAAATTTTCCAACACCCCATATAAAATGCTCTCTTCCCTGTTTCTAAACCACCCTGTGCATTTTGTAATTGTCAATTTGCTTCTTTGCCTCCCTTCTGGATTCTAGGGAGGCTCTGAGAAAGCTTCCTTTTTTCCACATCTGTATAGCACAAATAACAGAAAAGTCAATTCACTTGTCCTTGGACTAGTCATCTTAGAAGGGAAGTACATCATGGTGGTTAAGAGCACTGACTCTGGAGCAGAACACCTGGCTTTAAATGTTGGCTCTGTCACTTACTGGTTTTGTAACATTTATCTGTCTGCCAAATGGGCATAACAGTATCTGCTTCATTGGACTGTTGTGAGGATTAAATAATATAATGTAGAACATTGACATGTAGAAAGAGTATATAAATATTTGCTCTAATGTAATGTAGAAACACTGGCACGTAGATAGACTGTATATATATTTGCTATAATTTAAAAAAATTTTTTACTAAGCATTACTTGCAAGATTAAATCTCCTCCTTCCCCTTTCTAAAGGGTAGTATTTGCCACTTAGTAATCCCTTTGCTCATCTACAAAGGACAACAATGAATGCATATATTTTTTCAAGGAAAATTCACCTGGAAAATAGCCAAGATAGAGTGTTTTCTTTTAGAAATGGAATTACTCCATTTGGGATGTTAGCTAAGAAATATTTTTTTTAAATAGACTACATTAAAAAGCAATATGGAAGAACTATTTAGGTATTTTCTAGTGGTTGAGAATAATTGCTTTGAAAATGAACAGGAAAATTTTTAAATAACTATTTAAAAGGATCCACTGAATGAATTTTCTAAGCTCAAAACTCTGACTCTACTACTATGAGACAGATGTTTGTGATTCCTTCTGAACGATGTACTTCTCCCCTAAAAATCAAGTTATAAGAAGCCATTTTTAAAAAACACATTTAAGTTGTTCAATAAATACTTATCCAATAAGGAATATTTTATGGGGAAAAAACCCCACCGGACTAAAAGCCTCTCCTCTTCCCCTTAACTGAAAACAAAAACACGTGAAAACAAGAACATGTATAGATATGGATTCCCTCACTCAAAAAATTATGTTCAAATAGGAGTCTTTAAAAAACTCTCTTAAGGAGAAGTTTCTCAGATTTCAAATCCCACCTGTTTCTCCCCTTACCTTCCATCCCACTCCCCATTCCCTATATCCAATACTTGTAGAAGAAAGACTTTTGAGGCAGCCAAAGGCCAAGGTTTGCTTTTCACCACCTACCTCCAAGACAGCAGCAGAATGAGCAAGCACCCTCTTCAAAGATGCCTGGAGTTCTTCTGGATGTCAGTCCAGGAGAGGTGATGGATACAAACCAGCTCTGCATTGCAGGGACCCATGAACCAGCCCCACCCCCAACTGGCTAATTTCAAGAGGGCAGGGGCATCAGTGTGAAAAATCCTTATTAGAAATCTTCTCCAGATGTGACTGGCAATGGGTAATGGGTAATGCAATGGGTGATTTTTGTTGTTGTTCAGTGAAAAAGAAATTATTACAGCTGATTGCATGCAGGAAAAGCTTTATTAAGTCACGGAACTGTTACAATTTTTTTAAACTGCAGTGTAGAATACTCAAACATTTTTAAATGACTTAGGAAACAGTTGGTATATATTTAGTAAGCAAGTTCCACTATCACAATTTTCTCTGCTCCCACCCTCAATGCTCAACTATAGAACGTTCATTTATTTATGATGTTTAGTATCTGTCTCACAGTCATCTGTCAGAGATTTTGTTGCAAAAACATGTCTCTTAACAATTAAATACACAATGGGAAGATATGATCAGACATTTACAGGACTCGAAATGTTTACGAATAATACACAATAATAGGATTACAAGAAGGGCAGTGACATCTTTCAATTCATTTTGCTATTTCCATTCTCTTTTTTAAACATTAATCTCTAAAGTCCGTCCAAGTCCCATCCTTTAAAATGCATCCTGTTCCTTTTTCCTCTCCTCCTCCAATGTCCATATTTTAACAATTCGAGTTCTCTTGCCTGGGGAAAAGAAAAGTTACTAACTCACAAGGGACATTTATTGACATCTAATTGTTACAACCCAAACCACAGCACAAAAGTCAGTCGTGTACAGGTGACACAGCACAATGGGGTTGGTCCATGTTTTCAGCACACTGAAGGAGAAGAGGGTCGGGCTCCTTAAGGCTCAGGGTTCACATGATGATGCACTTGCCCAGCAGCTTCTCGGCGGTCTTGGGGATCTGGGATTTCTTCTGGGGAGGCTGGGCGCCGGCAGCGGCGGCGGGCTTCTTCTCGAAGTTTATCAGCATCTGGAACAGCTCCTGCACATTGATATTCATCTTGGCGGAGGTCTCCAAGAAGGCGCAATTCCACTCCGACGCGTAGGCAGCACCTTCCTTCTCGCTCACCTCCCGGGGGCTCTCATCGCACTTGTTGCCCACCAGGATGATGGGGCACTTTTGCGGGTTGTTGCCTTTGAGTTGACGGATCAGCTCATAGAGGGGCTTCAGCTCCTCCAGGGTTTGCTTCTTGGTGACGGAGTAGACCAGGATGAAGGCGTGACCCCTGGCAATGGCGAGGCGCTGCAGGCCCCGGTAGCGGCGGCCGCCGGTGGTGTCGGTGATGTGCAGTGCGCCCGCCTTGTGGCTGCAGCCCAGCGCCTGGCGGTAGGTATCTTCGATGGTCGGCAGGTACGCCTCACGGAAGTTGCCGCGCACCCACCTCTGCACCAGCGCGCTCTTGCCCACGCCGGCCGAGCCGAGCACCACCACGCGGAAATCTCTGCTCCTCCTCTGGGGCAGGCAGGTACGGATGACGATCACGGTAGGCAGAGGCCGCAGCCGCTTCATCAGCCGTTCCTTGAGGCCAAAGCAGGAGTTGCCCATGGTTGGGTTTTGGCGGGGAGATGCGTGCACACCTTCTCTGGCACTTGGCCAGCAGTGAGGGAAGCCTAGGCAGGAAGAGAGAAAGAGAGGAAGAGTGAGCGATGGGAGTCTAACCCGGAATGGTGTTTTGTCGCAGCGCCTGCCTGGCCCGCCGCTCCCTGGGGACTGGGGGCGGGGGTACGGGGGGAGGTGGGAGGGGTGTCTGCCTCATCTCGCTCCCTAACCCCACCCTCCTCCCACTTCCCTCCTCCCTTCTCTGCGGCGAGCCAGCCACCAACCCCACGCACCTACGGAAGGCAATGCGGGCGGGGAGGAGGGCAGTCTCGCCCCGCACCTCTTCCAATGATACCTTACTGTTACTTTCGCGGTGGCTATGCACCCATTTTTATTTTTCACGCCATACTACTCCACTCTACAGAAGGCTGCAATGACGGACAACTTGCCAACCCTTAAAACACGCACGTCTGAGCTATGTTACCAAACATTTTCTCCCCAAATAAGCCCTCGTTGTCTTCTCTCCTTCGGTATGAAAAATTGTGCGCGTCTCTGACATGGATCGATCACTGCGGGCAAGGTTAGGTTGCTGCAGACATCGCGATCCAGGGTGTGGTCACGGGGGCAGCGAGGGGCGCCAAGGGAGCCCACAGAGTCCAGGATTCATGAAGCTAACAGAGACCCCTTACCTGCAGCAACTGTCCCCAGGTACCCGCTTCCCTGACAACGCACCCACCGGTTTCCACCCCCACGATAACCCAGGCTGGTTCGCCCGCTATGCCGCGCGTTCATGTGCCCGAAAAAAAAAGGCGGAAGATAGCTTTTACCTCTTTCCGAGGCGGGAACCTCGCGGCAAATTCACTCCTTGCCGGGGTGGGCTTTGGCCGCGGTCGCAGCGGCGGCAAGTAATTGCGTAACCAAGCTCCGAGCTGCAGCTGGCAACCAGTGCGCTCGGAAGCTCGGGGCGAAATGCTCCAACGGGGGGACTGAGGCTGGTTAGCCAGAGCCAGGGGGCGCAGACTGGGAGACTCCACTTGCATGGCTCACGGAGGGGGGATTGGGCTATGAGGGGCTGACCGAACCCAGACGCACCCCCCACGCAGTCCCCCCGGCGTCCCCCACACGGGTACCCACAGCCCGGACGGGGGCGGGGGTGGGAGGCGGTCCTGAGTTCACAGGTGCCCGCCCATTGAGGGGGCTCTGCTTACAGCGCTGGCGATGCAGGCATTTCTCACCTACTGCATTCCTCACCACTTCTGTGCTTTTGCCCCCTGCGGGGTTAGCCTTTCCCAAGCCTCGCCACCTTCTTTTCACTGTGGAATGGCCAGTTAGAATTCTTCCCACTACTGGTGCCAGACACTTCACCGCATCTCATCCACTTCACTTAGTAAACATTTGTCCAGCGCAAAACCCAGTTTCTGTCTTTGTAGGGGAAGACCAACAGAAGTCTCTTCTGTTACAAGAGACTTCGGAACCTGCCCCGGGTAGGATTTCCTGTCCTGTTGTATAGACATGTGCTGTGTTTAAGGGTTGAGGGGTATCCTCTACACCCAGCGACATTAAGCAGCTATCACATCCATCATCACTATGTGTACAATACGTCTCATTTAGTCATCATCAAAAAATCCTCACAAGAGAATCGAGACTGGAATGTGGGCAGCCTTCTAGGAGCAGAGAGCGACCCCTGGCTGACAGCCAATAAGAAAACACGGACCGCAGCGCTAGCAACCAGATTTTCCCAACAACCTAAATGAACTTGAAAGCGGATTCTTCTCTGCAAACTGCGCATAAGATCAGACCGCCAACACTTTGATTTTAGCCTTAATTAAGCAGAGAATCCAGTGGAGCCCATCCAGACTTCCGACTTACAGAATTGTGGGTTCTGCGGTTGGGAGTCGTTTTAAGCCACAAAATTTGTGGTAGTTTGTTACACAGCAAAAGAAAACGAATGCAGCAGGTAAAATTACTTGTTCAAGGCTACAGGGCTCATAAATGATGAACCTAGGCCCAAACCTAGTTCTCCTCACTCCAAGTCTTGTTCTTTTTCTGGTATTATCATTCTGTGTCATTAAGCTGATACACTATATATTTATTTATTTATTTACTTACTTTTTTTTTTTTTTTTTTTTTTGCGGTACGCAGGCCTCTCACTGTTGTGGCCTCTCCCGTTGCGGAGCACAGGCTCCGGACACGCAGGCCCAGAGCCCATGGCTCACGGGCCCAGCCGCTCCGCGGCATGTGGGATCTTCCCGGACAGGGACACGAACCCGTGTCCCCATCGGCAGGCGGACTCTCAACCACTGCACCACCAGGGAAGCCCTGATACACTATATTTTACTCACTAGTGAAAACATGTTTATAGCTTTTCTTTCTTACCCAAAAGCTCATGCGTGTTAGGTAGAGATCAAGAGCACACGTTTTAGAGGCAGAAAACTAGGTTTAGAATGTTTGTGGGTTTTTTCCCTTTTCCTTCTTTTGAGTACATCTTAATATGCCTTTGAGCTGCGGGGTCCTGGAGAAATTACTTTTCTGTAGAAGGGGAACTGATACCTGTGAGAAAGAATTGTGGGGAGGATTTAAGGAGCTACTGCCTGAAGACTAATTAGAAGGCATATAGAATGCAATAGGTAACATAAATGACAGCTTTGACCTTCACATAGTAATACAGAAGTCTGTATACACATAATCCTGTAGTCTTTGACTATTTTAAGAGTGGCTTTTTGGAAGTGGCAATGATCTTTTTATTTAATCCAAAGAAGAGCAGATTTCAGTCTGGAAAACATAGCAGGTTTGGGGGTAAGTTGATAGAAGAACTTGGGTCAGGGGGGAAGTAGGGTGAGAATTCTAAGCATTAATGAAATCTTTTCACATTCCTCCTAAACCACAAGAATCACTCTGTCTGTTGAAATTAGGGCAACTACAAAGTCTTTAGAAATGAGAAAGACTAGAAAAGAGGCTCTGGAAACTGAAACTGACAGGCATCGGTTTATCCCATAGCAGGCTACTTGGTGCTTGACAAGTTGTCCTCTATATTGGGGCGTAGTTCTAATTATCAGTGAAGTTTTCTTAGTTTACCTGTCTCTCCACACACTGATTCTAGTTTCATCTTCTGGAGTCTGGAACTGCATTGATCAATCTGCTCCCTTGGATAACTTTATATCCTTTCAGCCATTTGAAGACAGTCATGTCCCATCACTAAGTCATTCATAACATTGAAAGTAGCCTGAGGATCATCTAGACAAGCCCTTCATTTTGGTGATGAGGAAACTGAACCTCAGAGGCTACGTCATGCCCCGACTCCTTACCAAGCTTACTCTTCTCTCCCTCAGCCTCATCTTCTGTTTGAAAATAACTGTTCCTTGAGGGGTACGGGTGTCTTTTTCTCCACCGCTTTTTAGATTTTTCCAATTTTTATAATGCACATTTGTTTTTTACAGTAAAAAGAAAACAACAAAAAACTAAAAAATACATGTTTTAAACATAAAAAAAAAGGAAAGAGGCTCCTGAAAACACTGATATGGAAGATAAATGAAGATGCCTCTGGAGGCAAGACATTTAAAACAAAGAAATGCCCAAAAAGAAGATGAGAAGCAGAAGGTGGAGGAGGAGGAAGAAGAAGAAGGAAAAAGCTAGGAGGGGGCTTCCCTGGTGGCGCAGTGGTTGAGAGTCCGCCTGCCGATGCAGGGGACGCGGGTTCGTGCCCTGGTCCGGGAGGGTCCCACATGCCGCGGAGTGGCTGGGCCCCGTGAGCCATGGCCGCTGAGCCTGCGTGTCCGGAGCCTGTGCTCCGCAATGGGAGAGGCCACAACAGTGAGAGGCCCGCGTACCGCAAAAAAAAAAAAACAAACAAACAAACTAGGGGGTGTGGAAATATATATTACAAAGCTAAATCCTTCAAACGCCAGAGAGATGAAATTAAGAGATTACAAATAGAATTCACAAGGAATGATGAAAATTTGAAACCATAGCTTCTACATCCAAACCAAGTCTTGCACCTCAAAAGCCAGTATAAAATAACTTACTTTAAGAGCCCTAGCCCAGGGAACCAGCACTGTGGTGGGCCAGAAGTGTCAAAGGAATGGGCCACTGAGTAGAGTTCCCTGTGCTTTACAGTAGGTTCTCATTAGTTATCTATTTTATATGTAGTAGTGTATATATGTCAATCTCAATCTTCCAGTATATCCCACCCCCCCTTCCCCCTTGCTACATGTATAAGTGATGCACTTTGCCATACAGCAGAAACTAACACTACATTGTAAAGCTACTCCAATAAAAATTAATTTAAGGGCTTCCCTGGTGGTGCAGTGGTTGAGAGTCTGCCTGCAGATGCAGGGGACGCGGGTTTGTGCCCCAGTCCGGGAGGATCCCACGTGCCGCGGAGCGGCTGGGCCCGTGAGCCGTGGCCGCTGGGCCTGTGCGTCCAGAGCCTGTGCTCCGTGACGGGAGGGGCCGCAACAGTGAGAGGCCCGCGTACCGCAAAAAAAAATAAAAATAAAAAATTAATTAAAAGAAAAGGAAAGGGCCAGACCAGAGTTCTGGAGCAAATATTGGCTAGTTAGGATCCACAGTTTGGAGATATATCAGGGAGAAAAGACAATTAATTGAAACTAACACTGAGATGAAACAGATGTTGGAATTATCTGACAAAGACTTTAAAGCAGCCATCATAAGAATACTTCAACAGGCACTTACAAATTTTCTTGAAACAAATAAAAAATAAAAACATTCAGCAAAGACCTAAATAGACGTTTCTCCAAAGAAGACATACAGATGGCCAAGAGGCACATGAAAATATGCTCAACATCACTAGTTAATTAGAGAAATGCAAATCAAAACTACAATGAGATATCACCTCACACCAGTCAGATTGGCCATCATCAAAAAGTCTACAAACAGTAAATGCTGGAGAGGGTGTGGAGAAAAGGGAACCCTCCTACACTGTTGGTGGGAATGTAAATTGGTACAGCCACTATGGAGAACAGTATGGAGGTTCCTTAAGAAACTAAAAATAGAGCTAGCGTATGATCCAGCAATCCCACTACGGGGCTTATATCTGGAGAAAAACATAGTTTGAAAGGATACATGCACTCCAGTGTTCATTGCAGTGCTGTTTACAGTAGCCAAGACATGGAAGCAACCTAAATGTCCATCAACAGATGAATGGATAAGGAAGATATGCTACATATATACAATGGACTATTATTCAGCCATTAAAAAGAAAGAAAGAATGCCATTTGCAGCACTGTGGATGGACCTGGAGATGATCATACTAAGTGAAGTAAGTCAGACAGAGAAAGACAAATATCATATGATATCGCTTATATGTGGAATCTTAAAAAAAATGATACTAAATGAACTTATTTACAAAACAGAAACAGACTCACAGACTTAGAGAATGAACTTATGGTTACTGAGGGGAAGGGTGGGGTGGGGAGGGATAGACTGAGAGTTTGGGATTGACATGTACACACTGCTATATTTAAAATAGACAACCAGGGACTTCCCTGGTGGCACAGTGGTTAAGAATCCGCCTGCCAATGCAGGGGACATGGGTTCGATCCCTTGTCCAGGAAGATCCCACTTCCATGGAACAACTAAGCCCGTGCGCCACAACTACTAAGCCTGCACTCTAGAGCCCATGAGCCACAACTACTGAGCCTGCATGCCACAACTACTGAAGCCCGTGCACCTAGTGCCTGCACTCCACAACAAGAGAAGCCACTGCAATGAGAGGCCCACATACCGCAACAAAGAGTAGCCCCCGCTCTCTACAACTAGAGAAACCCCACGTGCAGAAACGGAGACCCGACACAGCCTAAAATAAATAAATATTTTTAAAAATAAAAAATAAAATAGACAACCAATAAGGACCTACTGTATAGCATAGGGAACTCTGCTCAATACTCTGTAATACCTTAGATGGGAAAAGAATTTGAAAAAGAATAGATACATGTATATGTATAATTGAGTCACTTTGCTGTACACCTGAAACTATCACAACATTGTTAATCAACTATACTCCAATATAAAATAAAATTTTAAAAAAAGTTCAGCAAAGAAATAAAATGTATAAAAAGGATCTAAACGGAAATTATGGAACTGAAAAATACAGTAATAGAAATTTTTTAAACTTTCTGAATGGTCTTGATAGTATAAC